AAGATGAGCGTGTGTGTTGTATGGAAACTTGGCAGGAAGCCCTCAAGGAAGTAGCCCTAAACTGTCAGTAACTAAGGAAGCAGTAAGAACCAGCTTCCTTTCTCTAATTTTCTTTTAGTATCTTTGTTTCTCTTAGTATAACTTCCCAGGTCTCCTTTCACTTTCACTGTTGGTTGACTTATTCTGTCATTCCCCCTCATAGCTCCTACTTAATCCCACCAAACCTCAAATTTGCACAATGCACCCAGCTCCACCTCTTGACCTGCATGCAGCATCAGCTGTGATTGCTGACAGCTTCTTTCTTTTCTTTCTTTCTTTCTTTTTTTTTTTTTTTTAACACTCGTTTCAAATTGTTGAGAAAGGAATTTGACTGGCATAGTATGCCTTGGGATACTGGCACACCCAGGACTTGGCGGCCATTATCTGTGCATTCAATCAGTGCTGATCAGAGAAGAGCAATAACTATTAGATATGGAAAATGACAAACCCCAAAAGTAGTGAGACCTGGGGAAAGAGGAGTGAGAAGGAAAGCCACACATTGGCAGCATTGATCCTTTCCCAATACAGTCTTTCCCAGTGATAAACAAACCCTAAGGAAGAGGTGTCCATCAAACCTAGAAAAGCAGTCTCTGGGAAGAGGCCAAAGCGTTGATCCTTCTGTAAACAAATCCTTTCCAGATACCAACCACTGACCCCAGACTCTCCATCAGGTTCAGTATAATAAATTCCAGAAACTGACCACTGACCTTAGACTCCGTCCCATTTCACCCCATAAAACAGACCCTAAATTGCTAAGCACTAAAACTAACTCCTTCACTGATTGACAGAATAAACTCCAAATTCCTAGGTTTCCAAAGAAAACTGATATGCTCACTAGACCACCTCTCAGAATAACCTATATAAGCCCAGGCTCTTTCTTTGTTTAGGAGCTCATTTTCCACTAGGAAAGTGGGTCCCACCATGGCATCATTTCATCCCTGCATCCCCTGATCCTGTGTGAAACTTTGTTCCTGAATAAAGTGCTGAGTTGATTTGTGAAGTTTGCATTCATCCCAGTCTTTTTGTGCTAACAGCGTCAGTATGTAGGTATTTGGTGCCTAGAAAAAGAAACATCGTTTGCCACTTCCGAAGGACTGTGGGTAGGACACTTGTCTCAGGAGGGGATCAGCGGTGAGGCCAGCTTTCTGTGGCTTGGTCCATTTTATTCATTTCCTTAATGAAGGTCAACTCTTCTCTGCATGGAGGTGGTTCAGGAAGGGCCAAGAAACATACTTGTGCTTTATTGCTGTGTAGGTTCTTCATACTTAGAGGTCAGCCTAATAGAACTAGTTTACAGGGTCAGGTACAATAATGAAACTGTTTAAACCAAAGCACCATAGATTGGCTTTATATTTTTGAGATATCTTAATTTAGTTTAATTCAGTACCAAAAAAAAAAAAGTTCTAAAGAACCTAATCTATCCAAAATATCAACACATGGATAGACACAGGAGATGAGATTGAGGTTTGTTTTGGCAAAGGGAGCTCGCCTCTGCCATCCACAGTCACTTTTAACCTCCAGGAAATGCCACTCTCTCATTCAGAGTGAGAATGAGATCTCAGAGTGTGTAAAAACAGGGAGGCCATCTTCTTGAAGGGAGTGGATGTGCTCATGTGCAACTTCCTGTGGGCTCTGAACAGGAAATGGAGGGATGTTTGAGAAAGCAGACAAATGAGAGAACAAGATCCAGCCCCTACCCCTAGGTCTCAACTCCATTTTTCTTTCTGTACCATTTGTTCAGGAGGGAAAAGAGGGGCACATTTTTTTCTCAATGTTCCCCACACACAGACTTTTAATGAGCACTATTTTCTGTTCTTATTCGCTGATCAATAAACTCAAGGGTAGGTCTTGTCTGTTCCCAGAGATAAAGAACTGCATGCATAACTGGTCTCTATCCACCCGAACAAGCACCGGTTTCTCTTTGTTTTTCACAGTGTTTCTGAGAGATAAGAGGAAACCACCCAGACATGATGCATGACCAGAGGAGGTTTTGAAATAATATTTTATAAACTCATTCCCCATTCTGAGCTGTGCTTCAGGGATGGAGAGAATTGGGGAGGGCACCACATAATAACAAGTTGATTTTTTTTTCTGGATTAAACATAAGCAGGCAAACACACGAACATGGAAAACATATGAATAAATGTTCAAGTGAGGAAAGAACAAGCCAATTTTCAGTTATAGGCATGAAAGTCAAATAGAATTTTAGTAATGCAAATGAGTACATCCTGAAAATTCAGTGACTGTTTCCTACTACAAACACTGCCTCTGTCATATGGATTCAAAATCAATATCAGCCAGGCAGGACCTGCATACGGTGGAAGAGGAAGCTATCTGCCCAAAAAAATATGGGATGAAGCCAGGATAGAATCCTATTAAGTGAATGTCCTTCAAGGCTCTGGCAGGTTTCTACGAGGTTATACAAGATGGAAGGGTTGATTTGAAATTAATGATGCAAGATTTTAAGTAGGGTAAGACTAAATGTAAGATGAGATGGTGCTGATGAAAGCACAGTGAATAAGTGTTTTCAATAGCAAATGAAAATTTGTTAGGAATTTAAATGAGCAAAGGTAGGAAATCGTTTGGGAGAAATTTGCTATTGGGCTAAGGAAAGACTTGGGATTGATTCGACTTGACAGTGAGGATATATAGGAAGCTAGGATCTTCAAGAATGGTAAGCAAAAGAAGAAAAAAACAATGTTAGCAAACGGGATGTGAAGGTGCATGTATCTAATCCCAGTGACTAGGGAGGCTGAGGCAAAGGATCACAAGTTTGAGGCCAGACTCAGCAACTTAGTGAGGCCCTGTCTCAAAGTAAAAATCTTTTTAAAAGGCTGGGGATGTGGCTCACTGAATTCAATCCCTGGTACCAAAAATAATAATAAGAAGAAGAATGGTAGGTGGAAAACCATGAGACACTTGTTTCTGAGCAGACAAAAACTGAGGAGAAAAATAAAATGCTGGTTGAAGTTGAGCAATATTTCATTGTCCAGGTTAAATACCATACATTACTGTTTCTTTCCATATCTAGGTTTATGAACTTTAATTCCTCTGTTTTAGAAGTTTATCTATATTTCATCTCCATCAGTTCCGTGTGTGTGTGTGTGTGTGTGTGTGTTGGCAGTGGTGATGGGAGGGTAATGTGTCCCCTGCTTTCTACAAGTTCCCCATAATACCTAGGACGGGGTCTTATTAGAATACTAGCTCAATAAAAGTAGTTGGAAGAATTAATTAATGAATCATTTCCTCTTCAAGTAATTTTTTCCCAATCAAGTGATACATTTGAAGACCAAAAAACTTGGATATTTTACCCTTTTAATATTAGGTAAACTAGAAAAGCAAGTTATGACTTAAATCATTAGGGTCTTATTTCAAAAGGAATTGGTGGTTCTAATGCCAAATTTCAGATAGGAAAATGAGATGTGTACATCTTAGGAGAGAGGCCACAATCCAATAGACTTTTCCTTGATCCCAGATTTATTCAATCAAGCTGAACTGTAGGTGATTTTTTGTCTTTCTGCTTAATCTGATTAGTACCTTTCCTATGTGAGTCTGACTTTGGGGAAGGTTGATTTCATGAGAGCAGGGGTATTCTCCATCATGCTCATTGTTGTATTACCAATATCAAGAATAGGCTTTTGGGAAATAGAGTAGGGGCTGAAGAAATATTTGTGGGCACATGGAGGTGCACATCTGTAATCCCAGTGACTCAGGAAGCTGAGGCAAGAGGATTGCAAGTTGGAGGCCAGTCTGAGAAACTTAATTCGGCCCCAAACAACTTGGCAGGACCTTGTCTCAAAATTAAAAATCAAATCAAAATGGCTGGGGATGCAGCTTAGTGGTAAAGTACCCCTGGGTTCAATCCCCAGCACCAATAAAGAATGAATGAATGAATGAATGAATAAATAAATAAATAAATAAATAAATAAATAAATAAATAAATAAATAAAGAATGATCATGGAAAGAGGGAAGGAGAGAAAGGATCAAGGAAAGAAGATGTAGGAGGCATCTGCTTTTTATACCAATTAATCTGGCACCTACTTATTCACTCATCAGTTGCCAACAGTCCCCTCATGTTCTGTGTTAGATACAAAATGATGAGATGTCACAGTCTGCTCTCAAAAACCCGATCATCTAGTGGGAGAGACCTAACACAGCAGGTGGTAAGTGCTTCACCAGAGCAAAAGGCCTGGTGATATGGGAGCTTGCCAAAGGGAGCGTCCAATCTGCCCGTGAGGAAGGGCAGGACACAGAACACAGTACAAACCTGAGCAGAATCTTAATGAACTCCATGATGCTTCGAAGACTTGAGAACATTTTAACCTCCATAGTCCTAAAACTGGCTAGATGGAAACAAAAAGTGGAGAGCTGCAGGTCCTCGAATTTTAGCCATTTTCTATTCCATCCTTTTGATGTTAGAAGTTATTTTGCCTTGGCACCTTTGGGCTCTGGTTTCACTCAGGGAATGCAAATGGCTGCAGTGAGTCTGTCATGCAGCAGCTTGTCATGGAATCATAGCTTTATAATCACAGTGGTCCAAATGACATAAATTGAAGGCCTGATGTCTGGGCTAGACCTGAACCATACTGTATCCAGGAGGAACAGCTTTGTTAAGCATGATCCATTAACACCACCGTTTGTTCTTTTCTGGGCAAATTCTTGTTCCTGTGACGAGGATTAATGATATAACAGCCATCGGGTGGTCTTTGCATTTTCTAACAACCTACAGAGTAAAGGTGTGTGTTTTCCATCGAAACAGCAAGTTTTCTGAAGAAGGTAGATACACTTAACCTCAAAAGGAGAATCACTGGCTAAAAAGTAAATAAGTTGTAATGGTCTGAGTTTATTTAGGCATAGGAAAGACTTTGGGGGTATGATGATGGACTTCTGAAACAAGAAAATCTAACGTCTGAGGGGGGGAAAGGATCCTGATTTGACTTCTGCTTTTTGATTTCCTTAGGTGCTGACCCCAGCACAGATCAAATCAATTTGCCAAGCAATTCTGGACTCTGGGAAGCAATACGCTACAAAGAAGAGGAAACCATTCCCCCTGATGTATTCTTACTATGGAACCGAGTACTTGGGTGAGTGAGGATGTTGGCACAGGCCTGTGTAGGATAGAGGGCGTCTCTAATGTTGACACTGGATATTTTTGTTTTTGCCCTAGGCTATCACTAGATTCATTAACAAGAAATACTTAAAAATGTCATTTAAAAGCAAATGTCCTACCCAAAGGACTTTAAAAAATCAGCATACTATAATGACATGGCCACATCAATATTTAGAGCAGCCCAATTCACAATAGCTAAGCTATGGAACCAACCTAGGTGCCATTCAACAGACAAATGGATAAAGAATGATATATATACACAATAGAGTATTACTCAGCCATCAAGAAGGATGAAATTATGCCATTTGCCAGTAAATGGATGGAACTGGAGACTAATTGAAATAAGCCAATCCCCCCAAAACCAAAGGCCAAATCTTCTCTGTGATATGTGGATGCTAACTCACAATAAGAGAGGGTGAAGAGGAGAATAGAAGTTCATTAAATTAGTTAGACAAAGGGGGATCAAGAGAAGGGAAGGGGATGGGAATAGGAAGACAGTAGAATCAATTGACATAACTTTCCTATGTTCATATATGAATACATGACCAGTGTGACTCCACATCATGTTCAACCACAACAATGGGAAGTTATACTCCATGTATGCATAATATGTCAAAATACATTCTCCTGTAATGTTTACCTGTAATGTTTAAAAAAGCAAATATCAACAAATATACAAATATTACCAACCACAACTTAATATTTGCTTTCATAGTTTGCCTGAAGCTATTTTAACAATTACTTTCATCCTAGATTCAAAGGCTCTTCAGCCTTTTTTTTTTTTTTTTT